GGATTATTTGCTCAGCATACAGGTTGAATAAATATTGTGAAAGAATACAACTCTGTCCCACACCTGTCTTAATTTTAAACCATTCAGTCTTCACATGTTCTGTTTGAACAACTTCCTCTTGGTCCATGTACAGATTCCTCATGAGCACAATTAAGTGTGTTCAGGAATACTCATACTTCACAATTTTTTTCATAGTTTGTCATGATCCACACAATCAAAAGCCTTTGTATAGTCAAGAAAGCACAGGTAAACATCTTTCTGGTATTCTCTGCTTTCAGCCAAGATCCATCGGACATCAGCAATGATATCCCTCATTCCATGGCCTTTTCTGAATCCAGCTTGAACCTCTGGAAGTTCTCTGTCAATGTATGCTTGTAGCCATTTCTGTACTACATTTAGTAAAACTTTACTCACTTGGGAAAACAAAACAAAACAAAACAAAAAAACCACAGTCATCCACTTGAGTATGAAGTATTATCTTTTTCTTATGTGTCTACTATATTATTGTGTCTCCTTGCAATCAATTCTTTTTGGAAAGACTTCACATGCATAAAAATGGCCTTCATGATTTGGGAACATTCCAAGAGTCATTTGTACACCTGTTTCCAGATCTTCTTGTGATCATCTTTTCAATTCTGTTCTTTTCAGATTTATGATTATATAGTTAAACTATTATCCACTACCCTGTGCCAGTGTAGATTTATTTCTTGGTCCAGATGAAAAGGACACCAAATATACTGTTATAAATTCTGCCCCTGAGAGGATTTCCTTTCCCCACTGTCTTTTAGAAACACTCCTGATTGGAGCTATGATGATGTTCCAATTCCTTTTGGTACCAAGAACCTAGTAAGTAGGTTATATAATTTATAAAAATCACTCTGGCAAAGTGAAGAGTGAATTGGATGGGGACAAAACTACAGACAGAGTGCATATATTGAAGGCTATTTACACTTTCAATGGTGGCGTCCTATACCAAGTTAATGTAGTAAGAACTAAACATAATGAGTTGATGATATTCAGAAAGAAGAATTTGGTGTACATTTGTATTACCATTAATAGTCCCTAGATGATGGGATGTATCTAAAACGACTATATAACCTTCTTCCAGCATAACATCTAGTGTTTTGCATGTAAATCACTCAGGAAAATTCTTAAATTAGATGAAATTATTTTAGATTCTCCCAAATCTTGGACTAAAATTAGCCAATAGGAAGATTAACTACTGGTAAAAGCAGTTTTTATTTGTTGTCTTTTATTGTATATGATATTAGTTATCC